GTCCCTTCACTCCCTCCCTGGTGTAAAGCATACCTGATCCAGTTGGATAAGGATCAATATATGCTGTGTCAGCCTAGAAGCAAGAATCTTCGTAAAGATTTTCAAGTTGATATTCAGCAACGATAGAGAGCTGTAGCTAGCACAGACCACTGAGTCTTTCCCCTCTTTAGGTATAACTGCTATGTGAGCCTGCAGGGTATTACTTGGCAGTGACTGACCATCCCTAAGAGAAATATATGCTCTAAACAAACCAAGGGGCCAACTTGCCTGCAAAAGTCTTATAATAGAGCAAAGTATAGCCATCAACTCCCGCAGCCTTCTTTATCATCATCAAGTCTAATGCTCCTCTAAACTCTACCACTGGGACTGGAGCATCTAAATTCTCAATGACTGATTTAGGTGACGTTGGCATCCCCGAGTCCCGAATATATTGTAGCACCGCAAAATATTTATCCTCCTGTGGCAGGGAGGCAATCTGCACCTCAAGGTTGTATAGGGCTGCATAATAAACCCTAAACACATGAGCATTTTTTTTGGCTGATCTAACAAGGGTGTCCTCCATCATTTTAATATGTGAAATATCATTTCTGATCTTATCAGTTCGTAAAGCATTAGCATTAGCTAGCAATCTACCGGACTTACTCACAAATTCATAAAAAGCTCTTCGACATCTGACAAGTTTTGCTTTAGCTTTCTCATTAGGAAGAGAATTTAATTAATCTCTCAATTGTTGCAATTGGTCCCTTACCCTTTGCGCCTGAGGTTTCCTATGAGTCTTTTCAAGTTTTCGAATTTCTGTTAATAAAGACTCCATTTTTAGTAGTAAGAAATTTCTTAGGCTGATTTCCTAGCACCTAGCTTAAAGAAGGTGTCCTGAATGAGACATCTATGTGCCTCCCAAAAGCAGAAAGGAGTACACATCAGCTGTGTCATTGATAGCCAACAATAAGTCAATATCCTGGACTGCTTTTTATAAATTGAATTTTTCAAAAACTTTTTGTTTAAACTCCAGTTCCAATCTCATGGCAAATTTTCACCTATTTTAAGTGAGCAAGAAGTCAGAGCATGATCTGGTAAAGTAAATGATTCAATAGAGGCAGTAGAGAGAAAAGGGAGAGCACTTCCCAATATAAAGAGATAATGTATTCTCATATATGCTTTATGGTGGTTGGAGTAGAAGGTGTAATCCCTATAATAATTATGAAGAGTTCTCCAACTATCTACCAAATGGTAGTCATGAAGAAGTGATTGAAATTTGTGTATTTTCGAATATGACATATGAGAAGCTCCCCTCGATGAGTCCAGCAAAGGATCTAGGGTTAAATTACAATCTCCCCACCAAAAGGAAGCCTTCCCTGTATCAATCTACCATAGCTAATGATGTTTCTAAGCAGGGGACATATTCCTCATTCATCAAGTAAAGACCAGCTAGGGTCCCTTTGTGCTCACAAAGGAACCCTTGTACTATAAGAAGGCACCCTTCTTTGTCACTAATAACTCTTGACTCCCCCCAGGGAGTGTGTTTAGAAATTAAAATAGAAACACCTTTTGATTTAGAATTGTTAGTGGCACTGTGGTACACAATCAGAAATCTATGATCACTCAGTTTAGTGATTTATCCTTTAAAAATGTGTGTCTCTTGGATGAAAACAATATGAGTTTTCATTTTCCATAATTCACTCATGAATCTAGTCCTTTTCATAGGGCTGTGAAGGCCTTTCACGCTATATGAAGTCAAAGAGATTTGGGGCATGGCAAGAAGTGGTCGATACCAAACGAGGAAAGGGAAAGAAATAGAGAAAAAAACAACATCAATAAAGAAAAAAAAGAAAAAAAATCAAAAAGAATCCAGACAGTTTCTCTACCCAGAGCACTGCTGGTAAAAAAGAAAGGAACAAAAAAAAAAAAGTGGATCGCCTTTATATGTTCTCCAATTAGGAGAGTTTCTAGTAGGGGAAAGTGGTCAAATTAGACGAGTACCTGAGATGTGTCTTCTGTAAAGGTGGACTCCTAAAACAAACAAACAAAAAATTATATAGATTACATAGTCCCCCTATACCCACTATATCACAACAGCTTTTATCTGGAAGGGGGAGGAAAAGAGGGGGGGCAAACCCCCAACAACCCATCCATTGCCCCCTAATGCCTATAAATAGACTGATGGGCTACTACGAGGTGCCCCCCTCCTCCCCCATGTGTAAAAAACTACACATACCAACAAAGTAACCTCTAATAAAGGGGAACAGTGTGGGCTTCCCAAATCCAACCAGAAAATCAAACTCAATGCCAAGGCATTGGCGGTGTACCGTGCAACTCTAAGGGGAAAAAAAACACAACAAAGCTAAGGAATAGGTACCAAACATTTCTGGTAGTTAATCCTTGCAATTATGCTTAACCTAGTTCCAGACATGTTACAAAATCCAGATGAGACTCTTGAGAATCCCTATAGAAATATTAAACAGAGATCTCTACTTCAACCTCCATGTTCAATAACCAGGGTGAGTCAAGCTCCAGTAATATACAAAGTACAGCAATTATTGCTCAAGCGAGTCTGAGTCACAATTCTACAAAGAGACCCTGTAACAAAAAAGAAGAGAAAAAAAAGATATTATACAAAACACTCAAATTGGAGTTGTATGAATTAATATGTGTACACTTTCCCAAAACTCCAAATCCACCTCAAAAGTGAACGTGTGTAAACACCCAAAACAATATCTTCTTAGCTGCTACAGTCCCAACACAGCTGAGGTTTGTGCATCAAAAGCATCATGCAGAGCTAGCCAATTAGGCATCTCAATTGTTTCACAGCCCAGAAACTGGAACAGCAGAGGAAGCTGTATTGGGCTCTGTAAAATTAAACTACAATTATTTCAAGCAATAGTCAATGCCAGGGGATAATCCCAGTGGTTGGGTACTCCCAACATTACTGGCGTCTCTGGGCACATCATAGTAGGATCCATAATGGTGTCCATAACCGAGTGGTGAGCACCCCGCGCAGAGAGATAGCGAGTGCTGTATGGGTGCTGAGGATTACTAACAGCTCTGGATGTCTTTTCCTGCCTTAGCATGTGGTGTGACAGGGGGACAGGAGCTGATACAAGCCGCGCTCTCAAGTGGTATCAATTTTGGAGGCACAAAGCTCAGGATAGGTAGGTCTTCATGCCGCCATGATTAAGCCACACCCCCCAAAAATGTTCAATAAAAAGATATAGTCTGGAAAATAATACTCACCTATGCTTACCAACCCGTGTAAGAATGTTGCCTATACTTACTGTACCTATTTTCAAGCTGCTCCTGTCCAGTCACCTTATCCTGCTCCCCTGTGTCAGCCAGTGTGGCTGCAGGGGAGAGCGCCAACAACAGATGGGCCATTGAAGCATATGGCTGATGTCACTAGAGATGTGCACGATGGAAAAATGAGCTTCTTTTCAGATTCGTTCGTTAAGTTAATAATTTTGCTTATTCATATTTGTTATATTAGAATGATTCATTTTAAGAATTAATTTAGTACATTCAGATTGATTGTGCATATTCGTATATATAATATATTATTTTCAAATCGGTTTGAAACTTGAATTTCGGAAAATGGCTATATTTTATTATATTTTTTCTATTCTGATGTGGTCTATTACATTCTGTTCTATTCTTTTTTCTATTCTATTCTGTTCTATTCTATTCTATCTATTCTGTTTTATTCTTTTATAATCTATTCTATTCTATTGTATTATATTCTCTAAAGCAGCCTAAGTAGGAATGATCATCTTATTTCACTTTTTTACCTTGCTGTATTTATTGCAATATGGTTCGATTTCGGATTCAATGTAAATCGTTACTATTGTGACTCAGAAATTCAGTGGACAGATCCCCTGCTGATCTAAATGGAGCCCACCCCATGTGAAAGGGGTCTTATACATATAGTGCAAAGCAACACTAAAGTGTTACTAAAAACCCAGGATTCACTCTCTCTGGTCTCCCACAATACACAGAACATGGAAGTGCAATTATTTGAGTAAATATAAACTGCTAAATACCTTTTCTCATCAGCAGATAGAGCAGTCTTGTGACTTCTATCAGTGTCCAACAGAGCACATGCTAAAGCTTGTAGGAGGAGTTTTCTTTCTGCTCTAGGAGGATGCAGAACCCCTGACCTCTGTCTGGACAGTGCTGATTGGCCCTGATCACATGCACTCTCCCAAGAAAAAAAACTCTCTAGCAATACACACCAAACTGAGCATGTGCAGTGTGACTCCACACAATATGTCATATCAGGAGATAAGAGGGGGACACTGGAATAAGGGGAGGATCAGAGAAGTCAGGATCAAACCGTTTTTTTATACAATGTGGAAGAATAACCCTTTAGTTTCCACAGTGATTGTAACAAGCATGCTTTACTGCATATGCCATGGAAACCCATTGCATAAAGCTCTCTATGCACTGTTGTTGTGCTAATCTGAAGGCCACACGAAGTTTGGAGGTATTTAGCTATTGATTCTACAGACAATTGGTGACTTCTGCATACTGTACGCTTCAGCATGCGCTGACCCAGCTCTGTCATTTTACGTGGCCTTCCACTTCGTGGCTGAGTTATTGTTGTTCCCAGTTGCTTCCACATTGTTATAATACCACTAACAGTTGACTGTGGAATATTTAGTAGCAAATAAATTTCACAGATGGGCTTATTGCACAGGTGGCAACCTATCACGGTACAATGCTTGAATTCACTGAGCTCCTGAATGTGACCCATTCTTTCACAAATGTTTGTAGAAGCAGTCTGCATGTCTAGGTACTTGATTTTATACACCTGTGGCCATGGAGGGGATTGGAACACCTGAATCCCATGATTACGTTTGGCAATATAGTACGTATATATGGGTTTTTTTTTAATATGGATGTCATCTGAAATGGTTTGCTAGTTTGGAATAAATGCCCATGACCTATTTTCTCCATCTTTAGTATAATGATTTAAGTTTTTTTTCATTGTCACTTTTTCTTTTTCTCAGGTTCGAACTGGTCTATAATGCTGTTACATAGCATGGTCCACACAGTACACAATAAGCAACCGTGTCCTTTGATCCCAATAATAGAATTCAAATCCCCCAATAAATTTGAGGTATGTACCATACAGAGCTGCTCATGCTGTATAAGAACTGGGAGAAAAGCATGAGTAGTGTTCTTTATAATGAGAAATGTCACAAATGTCCGCACTGCGGATTCAGTGTGGTTTTAAAAAGAGACATGGGGGCGTGGCCGAGCCGCGAGTGAAGATGGCCGCGTAATCACGGAGCTCCCGCCGGCCGGTTCCTACCTTGCTGCCGCTCTGCACTGACGGGTGAGACATCTCCCCTCTGCTATGGGGAAGACCGACAGGGCACCCTCTGGGGCCAGATCGCGGTCCCCGCGGGGTCAGAACGCTCAGGGGAGGCATATAAAGGAGCTCTTCCGCTCCCAGCTGAAAGACGGGCCGCAGCCCTCTCCCTCTGCAGCGTCCTCCCCTCTCCCCCTCCCTCTGCAGTCTCTGACACAGGCTCTGCAAGCACAGCCGAATATGCTGTGCTGGACACAGTGCCACAGCTGGATTCCTCACATTCCCTCACGTGCTACACATTCCCTATCATTAAGGGACCTCCAGGCTGTGGCAGCTGACATAAAGACCACTTTAACCACCACATTAACCTCTGCCCTCTCTGAATTAAGGGATGACATCCGCTCTATGGGCACAAGGGTGGAGCGGGTGGAGCTGGATACCAGGCAGAATCAGGCGGCAATTTCTGATTTACAACAACAATCAGCGCTGCATGTGTCGACCATTCGAGATTTTTATAGACACATTGAGGACTTAGACAATCGTGGACGCAGACGCAACATTAGGGTCCGGGGCCTTCTTGAATCAGTGGAACCTTGTGATGTCCCTAAAGCGGTAATAGCTATCTTTAATGACCTCCTAGGTCGCCCACCTTCAACCATGATTGCCATTGAACGTGTACACCGGGCGACCCGTCCTAGGGGGGAAAACACAGACCCTCCCAGGGACGTAATTTGCTGTCTTGAAAGTTACCCGCTTAAAGAGGATATCCTCAAATGCGCCAGGGGGAGAAGACATCTTGCTTATGAGGGGGCGGAGATACAGCTATATCAGGACCTCTCCAATCTGACCCTGCAACAAAGGCGGGCGCTGCGCCCCCTATTGGATACTCTCCGCACGCGCAACATCCCCTATAGATGGCGGTTTCCGTTCTGCCTTTCTGCTCAAGTGAATGGCCGTAATTTCAACCTACGTGTTCCTGAAGAACTGCCATCTTTTTGCTCTCTGCTTTGGATATTCCTCCGATTGCCTTACCCGATTGGAACGGGTCTATGAGGTTGCCACGTGCCCCAGATCTGAGAGCTGAAGATGGTGCAACGGGCGGGCCTAACCCTGCTCAGCGCCGGCGCGCGGATGGTCCCTTCGACACCTCCACGATTCCCTGCAGGGGGCCTCTATGGACACTTCCAGTCCCACGGCCTCCCCGGCGCACAGGAAGCCTCGGCACGAGAACCAATGATCCGCTACACCAGCAGGCTTTCAGCCTCCGTTTTTTCCAGTTTTCCTGTTGATTTGTGATTGGCCAGCTACTTTTGCTTTGAGTAGGGCTCTACTGGTTTGCCCCAACGGTTACTGTTGCCTCGTTACAGTCGCTCTCGCAGGCTTTAGTCATCCATGTTGATATGCCACCTCCCCAGGTTTTGGGGTGATATTTATTAGCGTACAGGTCAGGAGACTTGTTCAAGATCGACACCCGGTATACACCCCATTGGTTTTGCGGATTCTCCTTGCTCTAACAAGCATACTGCTCTTGCTCTGGATCTCTGCGCCTATCGCATCATGGAGTTACCTCCCCGCAGTATATTGCCTACTGAAGAAGAGTGGTCTTGCTCCTACGGCAGGGTCTCTATCTCCTTCCGGGTGCCCGGTTCACTTCCTGTCTTAAGCTCCTCTTGTTCCGGTTTGGTGAAAGCTCTCGGGAAGGGCCGGCTCCTTTCAGTTTGTACTGCACTACAAGCCCAGGCCGCGACCCGGCTTCATCTGAAGGATTTTTGCAGCCTTTTGGGTCTATTTGACCGGGAGGGAGTTGCCTCTGCTCCTGCTTCGGACACGTGCTCTATATGATACCCGTGGTTACTTTGATATCCTTTTTGAGTTCTGCACTAGATACGGGATTTTGATGAGGGGCAGTTGTTTATTTAGGGGGAGGGGGTGGGACGGGGGGGAGAGGGATCTACCTCACAATGCTGCTGCCAGGGGATTGATGGGAGCCCTGTTACATTCTGAATGATGCCGCGTGAATGACCATCACCTCTGCGCACTTTGTTTGAGGCCTCACGGAGCAGGTTGGTGTACTCCCCTGTGACCTGCTTTTATGTAAGCGCTTACGGCTGTCTGTGGGGCTCTATGCTTCCCCCCAGTCCTGGGGGTGTGCCCCCCCCTCCTTTCAGCATTGGTTATGGGAGAGGTGCTGCTCATTCTCGTGGGTGTCACAGGGGTTTTGGTAGAATCCGTTTCCATATTTTGCTATAATTAGATGAGCTCGTCTCCACGGGGTAACACAGTTCTGGCACTGAGTCTGGGGATCCTGAGTAGTACGGATGCCTGAAGCTGGGGTATACTGTTTTTCTAGGGTTCTCTCCTGACCTCAGTTTTTGTATTGAAATTTGTTTTTCCTGTATGGCATTTGTTCATATGTTATGTTGTATTATTGCTTCTTTAATTGATAAGCCTGTATTACTCCTTACGGCCTCTCACAGATCTACTGTTTTACATGTCCTGCCTGTAGGTTCTGTACTTATACGGATATAATTTGCCCTGTCCTCATGCAGGATTGGTTAGCCCCTCGATTTTTCTCAATCCGTATAATGGAATATCTGTGACCTATTATCCCGTCACTGTTGCCCCTTTTTGCCAGCGTGCCCGCCGCGGGCACACCCGCATACGCCTCCTGGCTTATCACCTCTTGGGGTTGTCCAAGGTCTTTTTCCCTTTTGGCTTGGCCTTTACTGTACACAGTATTACATGCCTTGCTTGAGCCCCCCCTTTTTTCAACACTCACCCTCCTTTAGTTTTGTCTTTTTGATTATGCACTTTGCGAGGCGACCGGCCGGCGGTTGCTTCACTCTGGCTCAACGCTTACTTCGTTCCCCACACAGTGAGCTCTGTGAGCTTTCACTGACCTCCTACATTATGGCTACTATTATTAGTTTTCCTCTCCTCTACTTTTTCTTTTCTCTTCGTTTTCCTTCCCTTTTTTTCTTTTTTGGCTCTGATCTCTTTCTTCTTCTAACTTTCCTCCCTCTTTCTGTACTCTTCCTTTCATACGTGGACTAGCTGGTTCTTCTCCCCGAGCCGTGTAGTACTTTCACCCCCTTTTCTTCTCTCTCTCTTTTTTTTTTTTTTTTTTTTTTTTTTTTTTTTTTTTCTTCTCGCTCTCTTGGGAGTTCTCTTATTCCTTCTCTTTTTTCTTGCTCTCTACCCCCTTACTTCTTTCCCTTTTCTCCTACTTCCCCACCCCCCCTTTTTTTTTTTTCTCTTCCCCCTGCTCGTTTGTAGTTGTGGTCATCAGGCTTCCGCGATCAAGCTCTGCAGTCATGCTTTCTCCCGCCTCTAATGCGGGACTGCTGTCCTTAAAAATTCTTTCACTCAATGTTCAGGGTCTGAACACTCCCGAAAAGAGATCTATGTTACTTTCTTACGCGCATAAGCTAAAGGCGGATATACTCCTCCTCCAGGAGACGCATTTTCGCCGGGACTCCATATCCCAAGCTTTTTAACTTCAGATACCCTACTGTTCTTCATGCCACCAATCCACTGGCTAAATCGAAAGGAGTGGCTATCCTGTTTGCCAGACATCTCCCATTTGTGCTACAGGATTCCCCTTGCTGACACCGGAGGGCAGATATCTGTTTGTCAAGGGCTCTTTTTCCAACAGACCCATCACACTTGCCAATATTTATGCTCCAATACCAAACAGGTTACGTTTATGCGTATGACTGCTGCTACTTTGGCTGAGTTTTCAATCGGGTATGCTGATAATGGGGGGGGGACTTGAATGTCCCATTAAACCCATTGCTAGACTCCTCTTCGGGCAGTTCATTTTTGCCTTTTAAGGCCCTCAGGCAGATACATTTGCAGTTGCAACACTTGCAATTACATGACTCCTGGCGCACACTCCACCCCACTGTTAAGGATTACACGTTCTTTTCTCCGCCGCACAATAAGTATTCTAGGATTGATTACCTTTTTCTGTCACAGTCGGACCTCCCATTTCTACATGCTGCATCTATAGAGCCGATGGTTCTCTCCGATCACCACACCCCATAACCGAGTAACCTTGCGGCTCCCGGAGAAACTTGCTCGCTCGAAGCTGTGGCGCTTAGACGCCTCGCTTCTTGCAGACTGTGCTATTGAACAAGATATTCGCTCTCATCTGTGTGAATATTTCTCTTTGAATGGCTCTTCGGATACCTCCCCCCTTACGCAATGGGAAGCTCATAAATGTGTTATCCGGGGTTGCCTTATAGCGGCAGCAACGAGACGTAAGAAAGACAGACAGCAACGTTTGAAGCTACTTACAGATAGGATAACGCTCTCTGGAGAGGGCACATAAACAGACTCTGGCTGCGTCGACTCTTTCGGAACTCACAAGTGCTCGCTTGCGACTTCTTACTGAGCTGGGCAAAGTGGTCAAGAAAAGATTCATCCTCTCCCAAAAGCTTTATTATGAGTTTGCCAATAAAAGTGGGAGGTTTCTTGCTCGGGCTCTTCGGGAAAAACGATCCCATATGACTATACATAAAATAAGAGGCCCTGACGGTGTGATGGCCACGTCCAATCCTGATATTGCCTCTCAGTTCGAACATTTTATAAGTCCCTTTATAAAATCTTCCACCAGAACGTCCCCCGATGCACATTGACAGGCCTAGAGCGTCCCTAATCTCTGAATTTCTTCGTCTTCATGGTCCAAAACACTCTCTCTGAGGAGACGGTTCTATCGCTGGACCAAGATTTGACCTTAAGCGAATTGCAGTGCGCGGTACGGCAGTTGAAAACGGGCAAAAGTCCTGGTCCTGACGGCTTCT